ACCCATTTTAGCTGCCGTTGGGTATCCTGTGTGCTGCTCCAGAAGGCTATGCCAGCCTGATAGCTACATCTCAGGAGACCTAACACATCTCAAACATCTTAGACCTGACTTGCTCCCCCTCAAGTGCGCAGAACACCTTGCACACAGGGCTCAGGTCACTTACACAAATGCTGATGAGACGACAGCATACTTGCACAGATTCCTTGGTTTTTTTTTTCCTTCTATCCTTCCCATGGTTATGGTGCCCCAGCAAATTGGGTAAGCAGAAAATTCTGCTTGCCTCCAGCTTCAGCGTGAAAGAGAACAAGGTGTCCGATAATCTCAAAGCAGGCAAGGTATGACAGTGAGCAAAGACAAAAAAAAAGAAGGGAAGGAAGAAGGTTGGCAGGTTCTTGCAACAATAACAGCATTGTTTATTAGCACTGACTGCAGTTACACGGGCCCCAACGAGGGCCATATGGGTTGTTCATTCCTTTACTGTAAGATCTGCCCCGGGGACAGGACAACCATTTTGCCTAAAGGTTCATTTCAAACCTGTGTTTCTTTCAAATAAGTGCCTAGCCTTCTGCAGACATGCCTAAACAAAATTGCACATGAGGAAAATATGTATGTTCTTTTGCTATTCGGAGTTCTACCTGGGCTACCTGAACGTGCTTCTGGCATGGGTTTCACAGTTCAGGCTGAAATGGGTGAAAGTAGGATCTATATGGCTACTGGTCCCAGAGCCAGAGGACTTAAATCCTGGCTGTGCATATTTATATTAAAGATAGAGCCATCCCCACAGTCTGCAAAGAATCCTACAGACCCCCTGCACCACAGCAGATGTAGGCAGGGTGAACCCCCTCTGCTGGAGTGCTCTAGCAGGTTCTGCTTATCACCACCTGGGTGACCATGAAAGAAGGCAGTTCCCACCACGCATTAGGCTGGAGAATGAGATGGGAAGCAGAGACTGTACTATCAGGGAGTTCCCTTGTTAGAACAGGGCTTTCCCGAGTAGAGGACATGTGCTTCCTCCAGGATCCACCCTTGTCCCTCCCACGAAAAGCAGCCAGGAGCACAGTACACAGCCACCCCGTCCTGCTTACCTGCATGCTGCTCACTCCAGCGCTTTCTAGGCAGAGGTGATCCATGAGGGTCCTCCTCCAAGATCCCTGGGGCACTGAGCTGTATCCCACAGCGAGATGAACAAGTCCACACCGTAATAGAAGCAGGGAGAACTGCTGTCCATCCCGTGACTCCTCCAAGATCCCTGGGGCACTGAGCTGTCTCACACAGTGAGATGAACGAGTCCACACCGTAATAGAAGGAGGGAGAACTGCTGTCCGTCCCGTGATGTTGTGATAGGCAGGGTCTGTTGGAAAGCTGGTGTTTAATCATATCATCTATCAACAGGATGAACCCATCACTTCCTTGGGGAAGGAGCTGTTGCTTTACCCGTGTGGCCAAGAGGACCAAGAACCAGATTACATCTCTCTCTTTGCGTGAACCTCCGGTCTCCCTGTGCAGCCCCATACCTGTATTCACAAAGACTGAACTTCGAGCCAGAGCTGCCCATGCCTACCTGAAACAGTTGCCATAAGTGCCTCTACCGTACATCCTTCACCACAGAGCAGTGGGAGGATAAGTACTCTTGTGGGCTTGTCACATCACCTGAGTTAAAGGATGCATCAGCCCAGCGAGCTGCAGAGCACCGGGATGTATCCTGCACAGCGGAGTGAAGGAGATGATGAAGTCACCAGTGGAGATACTGCCCTGTCTTTTCCGTGGGGTTTTTGTAGGTTTCCTGGGGGACTTCAGCGTTCTAGCTACCTTTTGTTCTTGAATGAAAGGTGGTGTGCCATCTGGGAAATAGATTAGTATCTACAGTTAAATGAGATCATACCTTCTCGAAGGCACGAAACAACTTGGAGAGGTAAATGGGTAGTAATTTGCATAATGTGAAGCTTAATCCTGTAAAATGCTACGCCCTCGCAATCAAGGATGTTCAGGTCAAACATCCAAGCAAACCTTGGGTGCCTTTCAGTGAAAGGTGTACTCTGTGAAGAGGAATTTTCATGAAAAGTGCATTTTTTAAACTCCTTTAGCCTCTGAATATAGATCCTCACTCTTTTAACCTGTATTTAAATCCCACACTGGCCTTTCTGCATAGAGAAGGATTAACCTTTTGAAAGGGAAAGGAGAAGGGACACAGGAATTTGTGTGAAAGACTACCACATGCACAGAGCCCCAAAAATGTACGAAGCAGTGCCTATATCAGTATTAGTATTTTACAGAACAGTGTTTGCCAGTAAAGAATGTTATTTTCCCAAATGAAGTTATTTGTTGCAAGTTGTGTCCAGATTACTAAAATGCATCTGGTGTAAACTTTTAACATAGAGCTTGTTCCTTCAACGTAATGTTCTCTCTTCCTACCTCTTTATATACGTAATTCCCCCTCTCTGGGGGGAGGGGGGACAGACTCACATAACAAATTAATCCTCACCCAGATTCCCTCGTGTTGTTGCACGTGGCCAATTGCACAGCGGAGGGTTGTGGTGTGAATCTGCTAACATCATTTTTTAGAGATACGAGTCTCAAATAGTGAACGAGAGTCAGTCTTGTTTCAGTTGTTTACCTGTTCCCTTCTTTCTGTTGGATCGGGGCTACTCTGCTGAACTTGAGGAAGCAGTCAAAAACTTCAGTCTTACATTGCTCTGTGTTTTGCAGAATACTGTTTAAAAGCAATTGTTGTAATCTTCTACAACTATTCTGAGAGATGTTTTCCATCCAGGCTCTTGTCCTGCTGGAGACAAACCGTGAAGTGTTTTGTATACCTACGGGCTGGTAAAGAAAGGGACAAAGTCTTCTTTGCAAAGGCAGTTTGAGAGGCAGGGTCTTAATTTGCAGAAATAAGGTGCAGGCTGATCTGGCATGGCCACTGCATGACATGATCAATTTTAGCTCTAGGATCTACAGTGTGAAATCCCTCTAGGAACTCCTGAGGGTTTGACTTGCTGACAGGTGGACCAGTAGCTTCACATAGCTTTATATTATAACTACTTATTTGCAAATGTTGGCTCAGTAGAGCCCAGGGAAAGCCACTATCAGTATTCACATCTATCCCACATGGCTGAGAATCATGCCTCAGTTTTTTTTTTAAGACTCCCAGGTTCACTTGACTGCGGTGAGGGAAGAAACCTGGAGTTTTATATCTACACATTTAGATTACTGCACTGATTGCCCCTTGCCAGAACAGATGCCCTCAAGACTGGCTCTTCTATTGCTCTGAAATATAGTTACCCTGAAAGGTTACCCTGTGGACCAAGGATGACTGGCAGTGTTTGGGAATCAAGGCTGCTGGCTTGTACTGGGGAACTTCTCTGTCGAATCTTTCTTTCTTCAAGGGACGCCATGCAAGGATTACAAGAGCAGTCACATTTGAACATTGCTTGCTGGAGAGATCATGACACCTGGAACGATACAGCAATTTGTTTTGTCCCATGCCTCTGTGCCTTTAGCCAGAGCAGAAGACTTTAACCAGTCTTCACAAATTACAGCAGGGAGTCCCCAGATGCATTCCTTGTCTACACAGAGGGATCTCTATTCCCTCGCCAACTAAAATCGAGTCAAGTTATCATTCTGAGAAAGATCACAAGCTGTTTCTGGGCCAAGGAAGGTAGAGAGCTGCCTGGCAAAAGCTACGGTTGTGTGGCTGCTCTCTTTGGATTTCATCTTTTTTTCTAACTGGTCTAGAAGACTTGTTACAGCTCCAGTTGGCTCACAGAAACATAGCAAACAGCAGCTTGCCTTTCTCTTGTTGTTCTTCACCTCAGTGCAGTCTCCACCTTTAAGGGAGCCCTGCCAGACTTCTGCTGTGATTAGATTCTCCTGCACAACACTGAGGTGGCTGTGGGCTGGCTCTCTCCATCACTGATTCAATCTCATCTCTTGCCAAACTGGCTTCTGCAGCCAAGGAACAGGAACTGCATAGACAGCATTATTCTTGGCAGGAGGAACAGCATCTCCGTGGAAAAGGATGTGCAAGAGAATCACAAAGGTGCTATTTAAAAACATAACTTGTGAAACTCTGACAGGGGCTGGATGGCATGCTTGCCAAGGTACTCAGAGTAACAAAGTGTTGAATTTACAGGTGCCCAGTGCTCCGAAATAGAGACTAATATAGGTTTGAAGGGACCTCTGGAGACCATCTGGTCTAGCCCTGCTCTGCAAGTGTGGCTGATCTCAAAGTTACAGTAAGTTGCTGAGGGCTTAGGGAAACCTAAGGGAGGACAATGAATAAACATCATGTAAATAGTTAAGGCTACGCTTGAGGCAGGTTATGGTGAAGAAACTTTCATAACATACATCACCCAGTTTCAAATTCAGGTGAAGTGGAACTGTAGGAACAACTATCACCTTGGAGCAGCTCAGTCACCACAGCTCTCGTAGGCATTCATTCAACAAGCCGTGCCTGTCTCCTCCTACTGCATAATAGTTGTAAAGTTAGTCCATAAAAAAAAAAAAAAAGCCCTTTATAAACAATTTATCATGTATTCTGGGAACAAAAAAGTCATCTGGAGGACCTACTTGAGTTATTGCTGAAGTTTTTATGCTAAGTGACGTATTTAGGGGTTGGGTTTTTTTAAGCATAGAGTGGCATGACAAATGGTGCTTTATGCATTGTCCACTGCTATCTTGCATATTTCTTCCCCCAGCTTTTACAAGCCAAAAACCAAATTAGAATCTGTTTTCAGACTGCCTTGAATTAATCTGAAGCTATAAAACAAAGAGACTGCTCAGTGAAACAGCATTTAAGTAAGCAAATGGGATTTTCAAGGCCATGCAGTTTTTGTTTGCTAGTATATATTAAAATGATAAACAGCAGTCAGCTAAAAGAAAATGATTTATAAGAGCAGTAACTCATGCTTTCAACAGTTTTAGGCAATTGAAAAAAAAAATCTGTTAAGAAGGAGACTAATGTTTAGGATGCACCTATAATTATCATAAGAGAATTTGCAGGGTCCAGTAATCCATCGCAAAAATTTATTTTGTTAATTACAAAAAGCTTGCTATGCCCTGGGCAAGATTCTATATTTGGTTTAGAAGGAGTACTTTGGTACAAAGTCAGAAAACGTTTATCGGTTTTGGTATCTGACATTCAGAGTTTAAAGCCTCCTGCTAAATCAGTACTGCAAGTTGATATGCATTTCCTTTTCTTCAGCACGGTAAAGCTTCTGCCTTCCTGCACCCAGGTTGTGTAGAAATACCATTTTACTTACTGAACCCAGTTCCCATCCACAGGAAACACACCTCTGCAGATGATTTTCCAAGTGTTGGAAGGCTGTACTATTTCCTAGTAAGGCTAGAAGTAGAAAACCTGAAGTATGACAAAATAATTCCCAAGCAAAACCAACTTCATTTAAAAATAAATCTTGAGATACTTACAGTATTCTAAAGCAGAAGTACACCATCTGATTCATGGGATACAGACATGGCTCATTGCTTTTGGTTCACTGTTCACAGAAAAGAACAAACACTACCCTCCAGTGATTTTGAAACATCACAATTGACAAGTAGGGCTTTCTCTTCCTGCATTTTGGACCACACTTTCTGAGATGCCTCTTGTCTCTGAATGCACCAGGAATACCTGATTCATGGGATACAGACATGGCTCATTGCTTTTGGTTCACTGTTCACAGAAAAGAACAAACACTACCCTCCAGTGATTTTGAAACATCACAATTGACAAGTAGGGCTTTCTCTTCCTGCATTTTGGACCACACTTTCTGAGATGCCTCTTGTCTCTTAATGCACCAGGAATACCCTGTTAGCACACTGCTGCTGTCCCCCCCCCACCCCAGTCCCTTAAGGGAAAATGATTTTTTGGTCACTCCAGCTTAACCATCGTTAACAATCAGATGTCCTTCTCAGAGAAAAGCTCTGTACTTTTCCAAAAATAGCCCTTTTTAGATATGTCAGGCTAGATTTAGAAAATAACTCATTATTACTGACCCACCAAAGGGTCAATCCTTTAAATAACTGTACACATCTTACAAACATTTCAATGGAAGAGCACATCCATTTGTTATTGTGAATAACACACATTTATGTAACCTTCATTGTCTCCGTGACCTTGAATTTCATCAAGTGTTCAAGCCTCTCTCAGAAGCAAGTGCTGAACAGTCAGGCTAATGGAGTACTTAAAAGCCCTATTAAGAAAAATACAGAAGGGAGGACAAGCGCTCTCCCTCATCTTTTGCTGCCATCCTGGTGGAATCTCCATCCTTTCAGTCTCGTCCTGTCTCTTTTCTTGTTAGCAACTCTTTTCCGTAACGCCCTACAATCCAGTTCAGAGGCTTTTTGCCTCCCTTTCTGGCTTTCATGTCTTCTTGTCGCTCAGTTTCTGTCTGTGCAGGTGTGTCTCAATCTCTTGCTTGAAGACAAGCATCCCAAGCTGGCCGTGAGAACCCTCGTTCATGGCCTTGGACTGCATGCACATTTTGTACTGCTCGGGGGTCAGCTCGTCCAGACATTGCTTTTCATGCCACAGATGGAAGAGACCCCTGACAGGCGTTCGGATCACAATGAGGTTGCTGTGAAGGTATTTGCGGTACAGATGTACGTCTTCACCACCCCAGCCTTTAATATCCAGATCAAAGCCACCTGAGAGAAACAAAATCCAAAATAAACCTAGAAATATGTACTAGCAAACTCTACGCTACTAATTGCGCTACAGCTCTTCTCTGGCTCCAGTCAGCCCTTCAAAACAGCCGTGCTTTCTGCCAACATCAAAGTATTCACATTTATTAGCATCGAATCTTTCACTATCAGACAAAATTGCTTTACTTACGCTGAGCAGTGCTTAGATTCTGATAACCTCTATGGCACCTAAGAATAGTCTGAATATCTAACCAGAGCACTGCTGCAAATTAGAGCCATAGACACACTGCCCAAAGGAAAGGGAAACTGATCACAATTTTCTATGTTTCAGTAAAAAGGCACAGGTATTAGAGTTTATTTTTCTTACCTATGTTGATAAAATCCGATCTGTACTGGCAAGTCATCCCAAAACCAAAGTCTCTCCAAAATCCCGTTTCTTTTTTAATAACCTGCATGAGGGGAAAACAATGTTTAGATGGGAGCAGAAATGCTTTCAGTGTGAGCAGCAGACCTGAAAGTGTCAGAAATAAGAGCAACTGCCCTTTTATTCTCCCCCAGGTAAATACATGGCTGATCCTGAACCAGTTTTTGTAGATATTCATGGCGCGTTTCTGCTCCAAAAGAACAGCTGTGCCATTAGCTATCACGGATAAACTCCCTGATCTGGAATGCACAGGTTTTGCTTCACTCCTCCCAAATGGAGCTATATCACATCACTCTCTGGAATCTGCTTCTTCACTAGCAAAACATCCTCCAAAATCATTAGTTTCTGCAGGATTCAAATCTGATGTAAGAAACATACTGGTAAACCAGAGAAGTCAGACTCTGCTGTAGGGATGATGGTGGCATCTCGACTGTGAACCACAATTCACAGTGGTTTTTTTCTGGAAGAAAACAGTGGTTCTGATCTGGTTGCACAACTGTCAGCTATTTGATTACCTTAATTTTCACAAAAATTAGGAAAGTGGTAAAAACAGTTACAGCTATTTGATTACCTTAATTTTCACAAAAATTAGGAAAGTGGCAAAAACAGTTTGCTGTTAGAGAACTGCTAAATCCAGCTAAAATTGAAGTCCAGATATGTTAGGTGGTAGATACATACCCCATAAAAGCCTTTGTAATAATGAAATATGCAGGCTACGTTACTGAGGCGGACCATGAAAACATTACGTATTACAGGCAGAAAATCAAAGCAGTAAGAAACCATGGCTATAATTTTCAAAAGCAGATATCCAAGTATAGATCCCTCAGGTCATAAGTCATGTGTGTGAGTGACCCAACCCAATCTGGTGAGCCATCCAACAGTTTCAAGGGACAGGGACAGGTATTTAAATCCTCTAAGCGAGTTAGCAGCGTGCTCTTGAAGGTCTGGTTACAAATCTGCTCCTTAGCAGCTATTTTTGAAAATTTTGGCTTCACTTACAGCGAAGTTACAGAAGATGAGGAGACAGAGTTTCCATTTCTGGATTGACAAATCCCAGAGTTTCCTTTACCAAAAAATCCTCTTCCAAAATAGTCTCTCCTGATTTCTCGTTCATGCCTGCCCTTTTTGTTCATAACCCTTGTTCACTTCAATGTTGGTTTTTTATTTTACTGCTTGCACTGCTATCTCTTTCTTTTCTCATTTCTCCTGCCCTTGAAAAAGCCAAGCCACTGCAGAAGCCAATTAAAAGGAAACAAGATTGTATCTTTCAGGTCTGCACTGTAACAAGAAATCTCCATAACAATGCCCTTACAGCAAGCTACTCACATGCATTAGCATGATTATTTCCCATTAGTGCAAGTGGCTGCTGCAGAAATCAAATTCTTTCAAAGATTTCTGAAGGTTTGGGTTGTTTTTCTCTCAGCAGCCTGAGTACCAGGACAGAGAACTAACAGTGTCTTGTTTTAACGGCACAGATCTGGCCTCATGCCTGGGAACTAACATGGGCTGAATGTATAAAAATCCACATAAAAATGAGATTGGCAGTACTTCTTTAAATCAAGATGCTTTTCTGACGTAAGCATGAGATTTTACGACTCAAATATTTGCACAGACCTGACAACATCTTTATGGAACTTATGCTAGCTTGAGAGCGAAAGTCTACTTCATTTCCTAAGCACAGTGCTTACACCCTGAGGATCCCCGCTGGGCTCTCATCAGAGAGAAGACCAAACATGAATCCCATGGTATTATGAGAACAGGTTTCCTCTAAGACAAAAAAAAAACAGTGGAAAGGATTTTCTGGACACTTCAGTAAAAGACTTTCTGGCTACCTGTTGGATAACAAAAGGTAGCAGTAGACAAGAAAATATTTTTAAATATTTTGGGTGGACTTTTCAAAATCTCGTTCTTCATTTTTCTAGAGGGATTGCATGAGGTAGGGATAGTGATGACCGAAGACTGGAGTCAGACTCCTAGTGATTTTTTTCAGCTGTGACTGTTGCTGGGCTCACAACACCCCTAATTCTTACCTAGCAAGAACAGCACTAGAAGCTGGGATGCTCTGGAGACAGTGTGCAGCCTGGGACAGCATCCCTGATAGGTGTGGTGAGAGGGACAGCTGCGACAGGCTGGGACCCGACCCAGAGGAACTGAATAAAGCTGCACAGCTGCTTTATGCTTCAATTTGAAAATTCAGCCAGTTACCAGTACTAGTGGGCAGAGGACTGTGACCCACTGGCTCTGGAGAGAAGCAAGAGTGGAGGGTGTATGTAAAGGGAAGGCTATCACCCTATTAGCTTCAAGACAACACAATGCCAGAGTGTGAGACAGGAGAACAGCACATGCAGCAGTGCCAAGCAATGGCTCTGCCACTAGCATCCATGTGAACCTCTCATCCATGTGCTCTGCTTCTTCCTCACAACAGCTTCCTCCTAATCAAGGAGATTCACCTGGGTTTAACTACATGTTTTAATTATATGCCTTGTGGCAACGTTTTTAAAAATAATACTTTGTTATCACACGAAAGATAAGCAGGTGAGATGGATCTGTTGGAACGGGTCCAGCGGAAGGCCACGGAGATGATCAGAGGGCTGGAGCACCTCTGCTATGAGGAGAGGCTGAGAGAGCTGGGGTTGTTCAGCCTGGAGAAGAGAAGGCTCCAGGAACACCTTAGAGCAGCCTTCCAATATCTGAAGGGAGCTCCAGGAGAGCTGGGGAGGGACTCTTTGTCAAGGAGTGCAGTGACAGGACAAGGGGGAACGGTTTTAAATTGGAAGAGGGGAGATTTAGATTAGATACCAGTAAGAAATTCTTTGCTGTGAGGGTGGTGAGACACTGGAACAGGTTGCCCAGAGAAGCTGTGGCTGCCCCATCCCTGGAGGGGTTCAAGGCCAGGCTGGATGGGGCTATGAGCAACCTGGTCTGGTGGGAGGTGTCCCTGCCCAGGGCAGTGGGGTTGGAACTCGATGATCTTTAAGGTCCCTTCCAACTCTAACCATTCTATGATTCTATGAAAATCAGTGCAGATATGCTGCATTACATCAATGGCAGATTAAAGCCAGATGGGACAGCTCCAAGCATGTCATTTGTCTCTGAGACAACACGGTACACTTCAGAAACACACTGGCTGCTCACAGGCAGTTTAATCACGAACTATGGGATGGGAAAAGCCACTGTAGGTCTTCAAGTAAGTGGGAGAATAACTGAGCCAGCCACTGGAATTCTGTTTTCACTGACTCATCTAAGGATATCTATGCTTTTTACAAATGTCGGCTCTTCAAGATGCAAACAAAGAAACTATTCAGTGCAAGGAATAAATGAGAGCAAGATCAGGGACTATCACCCCAAGACAGCACACCATAGAGGAGTTGTTAGCTAGTTAGAGAATCCCTTCTGGCAGAGAAGCAGACACAGTTTAAATTCTTAGGTTCCATGTATAAAATACCAAACAAGGGTTAAAATAAATGGTACCAAGATATTTCCCTGTGAGTTTAACTACAAAACTCACAGTAAGGTGACTGCTTTAGTTAATTTTGTCTGTGTGGTAGTCACTGTGCACAAAGAATAGGGAAATGCTACCCAAGAGCGCAGGTACCTTTAAAAAATGTTTTGTCTAAATAAAAGCAGGCATTCAGAGAAGCATGTACTTACCAGCTGCTGTTCTAAAGATGGGATGGAATCATGGTGTCCATAAATTATACTGGGGTTATACTGGCTGAAGAGAACAGGATAAAACACCTTCTTCCCTGGAAAAGACAATGGGTTATTTTTTTTAAAGCTGTATAAAACGCACATCTCTCTCTTACAAGATGCTCTCCAGGCCACACCAAATCCAGACAAAGTAACACAAGTTTTGTACTAAGCCTATGGTCTTCCCATGAGAATGTGAATGGAAGGATATAATTAAAAAAAGATCCTGTTCCAGAAAGTACAGGTGCTGAAGGCAAGAAATTCAATCACAGTGGGAGCAGGACTGTTATAACCTTTCAAAAGCCAACCACTGGAATTTTTTTATATATGTCTTAATTAGTTATCTAAGTGTCAAGAATGATTTACAGCAGCTTCATTACCAATTCAAAGACAAGAATACTCTGGTGAAGGCTGCTACACAATAGGTAAAAACTGTTGATTTACAGCAGCTTCATTACCAATTCAAAGGCAAGAATACTCTGGCGAAGGTTGCTACACAATAGGTAAAAGAAAGACAACACAGTTCATGAGTACCTGGCTGTGTGTTCAATCTACAGGAGTTAAGGAATTCAGCTGTGAAGTATATGTCCACGTCGCAGAAAAAGAGAACAACGTTGTTTCCTTTCCAAAATCGAGCACCAATGTCTAGTCCTTTGCCCCTGGAAAATTCTTCATTCAACTGGATGAAGGTGAAGTTCTTGAAGTTGGCTGACCTAGAAGGAAAATATTCAGCAACTTATCCCGTCCTTCCAGCTCTTAATACAAGTGGGGGCAGGAACCCAACATGAAACAATTAACCTAGAAATCTGTAGTATCACAGTTCTGAGAGCAGTTTGGGGTAAGAGATGGCCTCTTTGAGTCTTGAGGAGATTTCCACTATGTCTACATTCAAAGCTTGACTTGTGTACTCCTACGCTACCGTTCCAGTCACAGACATTCTTTGGGCAGACCTCACAAAAATCCCAGCTGGACTTAGATGGATAAAAATATCTTTAGTAGGCAAATATAAAATGCCTGTCGTGATATTACTGTATCTATACCAGGGTCTTCCTCCCACATGCAGATGACAACAAAACTTGAACACTACACTGCAACATGAACTTGACAAACACAGCTATACAAGCACAGTAGATGAGACCTGGCAAAAAGCATCTAGTTCTTGTGTGCTCTACTGAAATTGTCTGCACTTGCCTTTGGAAGTTAATTTTCAGTCCTAAAAGTTAGAACCCCTTGCAAAAGTACAAAAGAAGTTACCAGAGTGAAAAAAAAAAAAAAAACCAAAACCAAAACTGCACTGAGATAAATTCAGTAAAATCTGCTTTGTGGTTCTAAAAACCAATATCACAAAACCACAGATGGGACTGTCAGGGTAACACCATTTTTATGCAATACAGAGGAAAGAAAGCTGTTTTCTCCAATGCAGTTGAGAACTTTTTGGCACAACTACAAGTTTGGCCAGCTATCTAGTCCCCAATTCATGGTACAATAGCTCTGTATGAACAGCACACATCAGACATTCAGGTACTTACTTGGAGGTATTTTCAAGTATTGCTCTGACTTCATTCATTTGTTCTTTTCCAAAGTAAACTACAGTGAGGTGAATTCTCCCGTCCTGCTGAATGCCCATTTCCCTAAAGGAACAGAGGTAGATTTGTGACTTGTTCCAGAAGTTAGCTCTGTTCAAAAACCTACACCCACTGGGGAAGGCAGAGTAGGGAGAACCCTGGAAGGCATTCCCGAGGGCACGATTCACTGACAGAGATCCTTGTCCTGACACACGGGCTCACCGCCTCTGTCAGATGGGACAGGAGATTCTCCTTCAGGCAGATTAGGAAAAAACTCCCAGTGTTTGTTATATTAATAGGAGGACACTGTTAAAACAGGCCATCCATCCCCAGGAAGAATGATCAGGCAGGCAGTAACTCCAGCACTTAAGAGAACGTGAGAGGGGGATTTTAAAGAAGCTATACATACCCTACCTTTTAATCTTGATTTTGTGTAACAGATATTCCAGAGTTCAGATCTTTGACATTTTGTTAAGAAACATTTACTAAAATCTAAGTATCGACCAGAAATCAAGCCAGTAGCCTAAGGGTAGGACCAATGTGAACTAAAGCCAGTCATCCTGCCTCACTTGCACAAAGTTTCGTCAGCAAGAGTTCATCTATAATCAGCAGAGAGATCAGCATGACCACAGGGCGATTTCTCCCATCCTAAAACAACCAACTATCAGATGACTAATTTAGACAAGGAGCCTATTTTTAGATGGCTGTAATTAGGCAAAACAAATTCCATTGTGTCAGTATCTGTTGCTAACTGTAGTCTTTTCTGGGCAGCTCTTTAAAGCTACATCTCAATTACATTCTCCCTCCAAACATCATCTCTGTGCTGAAAAATTAAAGAAGTTTAAAAGTAACCATCCTAAAAGTTCAAATGCATTTCCTTCTTCCGGCTTATTGCCTTAATCTTTTCTCTAATAGGGCCTGGCAAAGTGTCTGGGAGCACTAGTTCCCTTTTTCCTTAGAAATACTCCTTTGCACCTAATGTCATGAAATTCTCATGTGTGCCCCATCAAAACAGACTGAGACACATACAAATCAGAAACCCCGGTGACTGGAATATAACTGTTTTTACCGCTAATCACAATGCATTAAGCAGCCAAATGCCTTTCAGTCTCTATAATTTCAAAATTTTCTTTTTAGTGGCACAATGAAATGCGATGTAAAAGTAGCATGACTTTACTCAGTGAGGCTCCTGAAATTGCATCTTACTTTCCAAGTGAGAAAAAGCAAAGGCAGCACTGGAATGGAAACCCACCTGAAATTCTGCATGAATTGCCGAAATTTGCTGGCTCTCTTGGCCAATGGCACAATGACATTAATAAGTGTGTCAGCCATATTGACATCTTCATTTTTCACTTTCATTACAGGACCGAACGGCCGGAATAAAACAATCTTCTTGAACTGATGTTTTGTGTCTCCTTTGAATGTCAGTTCATACAATGTGCCTTTATCTTTTTCTGTGCGGTAGATCCCTGCGTGAAAACAAGAGAGAGGAGATTTTGGATTAAAGCTGGGCTCCTGGGGGGGGGGAAACAAACAAAACAAAAAAGATGCAGTCCTCATGTTTTACACCTAAGCTGAAAAGGTAGCAGAGGCATGAGATGTTTACTTTTAAATCAGTATGCAATCCACCATCATTTGGAGGAGGTTGTCGCTCTGAGAGGGACACAGCCCGGGTTGCAGGAGCTATTTGGTATTCTCACAGGCCCATTCCTAGGCTTGGCTGAGTTACAAAGCCCCAAATGTTACCAATTGCTCACACTCAGTATAACCCAGCAGACATACTGTCCTTATTCTTCGGACTGCTCCAATTGCACACCGCAGGCACGCATGGCAATGGTTCTGCAGAGGGACTGCGAAAGGCAGCCTGCCTCTCTGCAATATGAGTGATTGGGCCATCTCCCAGAAAAGCAATTTCCTGATGAGCACATTCATTTCCTCCTTTCTGGAAGGTTCTCTGGAGAGTCCCCTAATAAAACCATGCAACCAGGCCTTAACAGCCATCACCTTCACCCACTGCCAATCAAGACAAAACTCTCCTGTTACTCAACTCTCAAGAGACTTTTATTTCCTTTGTGGCAATGATGCCCACTCCTGGGTGAGTGATGGTCTGCAAGGATGACACTATGGAGTTTCTCAGAAGCTATAGACCCAGGATACAATCCTGCATTAGACAGTCTCCAAGGATATTTAATTCATACAAGCATGTACTTATTTCATGGATGGAATGAACTTTTAACTTACTGGATGGGTGCAATTGGTCCCATGTGGAGGGCTGGCATGAATTATAAAACTATCAGTCATGTCCCACTGAAACACTATTCTGATACCTTAAATGAGATAAAGTTGGCAAAAAGGCCATAGATTTTGCCCACTCTAATTGCCTCTTCAGTACCTGCAGTGCATACTGAAATAAAGCCTTTTCACAGTTAGATCCCTTAGGTTTAACAAGGAATAACTAAATGCTAATTCTAACTACTTGTTAAGCCTCTGTAACTATCCTAACAACTTCATCAGCAGAAGAGTATAATGGCATGGCCTTCCATCTCTTGCAGAAACTCCAGAGACAAGAAAAACATGTCTGTAAGAAAACTCTTCCATTTGACTTGTTTTGCCTTTTTTCTCTCCATCTGGTTATGAAGAACAGCTCAACCAAAATAATGTTTTTGATTTTTTTAATCTTAATGATTCATGAGGTGTGATTTTATCTGGCCAGAGTTCTGTGGACTGTCTTATCTTCACTATCATTGTCTAAGTGCTTTATTTTTAATGAACACTTCAGTCGGTTAATCCGATATGCAGATTTACTGATGTGTTATTCACTTCATGTTTTATTTTTAATATAAGCTGATTCACCAAATGCTACAACCCTCCCTCCAGCGTAGCAGATGAATTAAGTGAGATGGCAGCTCCAGCATTCCTTTACTGCTAACCTTTTAAAGCTGTGCCCTTGACTCCCCCTAGCTTTTCCTATATAGTCTGCCCAAGGTGCAGACCATGAACTACGACTGAACTTGAGCCTGCACTTGAGATCATCCGAATAGTGACCCAATAGTCCCTGCATTTCCTCCTCCTGGTGGCCAGAGGATGGAAATCTGGGCCTTTGAATTCTGCTCACCCATTTATTCTTACTGAAAGCCTGCTGATGAACCAAGTGTGTTGCTGGGTGCACTCATTTACTCAGGTAGCTTTTTGGACACGGGTCTTATGTGTTGTTGCTGGGTGCACTCATTTACTCAGGTAGTTTTTGGACACGGGTCTTATGTGTTGTGAAAGCTTAAGGTAGCCTTTTGATATTAAGCTAAACAAAAAGCTAAATTCAACCTGATTTGCATTTTCCCTAGGGAGAAATAGATCGGACTGTTTCATGTGTTTGACATAGCAAACTGCCATTTTTCATAATGGCAAAGATTTCATAACGGAAAGATCTAATATCTACCATGCAACATCTCAAAGTCTTTGCTTCTACCTCCTCTTCCACCCCAGCCAAGCAACAATAAGCCCACAAATACCACTTCCCCAGAGATACGTACTACATTTGTGGAATAAAGGAAGCTTTGCCAAATAAGAAAGAACCTTAAAGCAGAATGTATGTTGTGATCCGAGGGGTCCCTCCTAGTACTACATGCACATCAACAGAGGTTGCTTCTAACTCTGTAGTTTTGTTCTTTTTCAGGACTTCTACTACAGCTAAAAACAAGAACCTTAGGTGAGGGCAAGGTTCCCTCACAAGATGGCAACCCAAGAATTTAGAATGCTAACGTTTTACCTTGAAGACAATTGTATGTGAGTTTAATACATGTAATTAAATATGGTTATTCTTGACACATGTTTAAACCATTTCTTTTCCTTTTTTAAAGTATCTTCTTTCCTTTTTCAAGTATTTTCTTTTTAGAAGCAGAGAACAAATTCATTTGCCCAAGGTCAGGCAGAGAGCCTTGGAAATGAGCCTGAATGTCTTGAGTCACTCTGGGGACTCATCCAGCAGAACATCCTGCCTTTCACAAGATTTTTCCATTTCCGAAGGCACTACTTCATTTGTGCCACCAGGACTTTTTACGTGATTCAGAAAGATGTGTCAAGCAGCCTCAATTCTAAGACGAGCTACGAGGAGGGGAAAAAAGTAGTCCCAAAAAAGTAAAACAAAAAAGCCGTTCCTAAAAACGTTGCTCCTGAAAGGAAAGCCTTGGAAAGGCTAGATGTTCACTATGGATAAAAGAAAGTTAATTGATCATCTACTGCATCCATTACAGCAGTTATGTATCAGAATATGCACTGTTTCTTTCGGAGGCAGGGAGAAAAGTCAATGCCTTAGGAAACCCAATGTAAAAATGTGAACAGGAGCCTTGGGTCAGAGGAAAGCCTGGCCCTTAAACAAAGGAAAAGGACAAGTGAGAAGCAATAAATGACTTGGGCTGAAGGGTTGACTAAAGAGCAGTAAGTGTCTGGTCTTTGGAGCAGCAATTCCCAGAGCTCTCTAAAGAAATGGAAAATACCTGATCTCGACTCAACAGGGTAGGCAAACAAGTTTCAGAGATCTACATGGAACTCATAACTAGCACACAGACACACAACCTTAACAAAATGCTGTTGAGTGGATGATAATTTTAACCTCAGTTCCACAGACCATAAGTTTCAGGTCTTCCACTGTCAATAGAAAGACTCCCTGGACCTGTGCTCATTACTTGTATTCTGTTAGATGGTGCAGGAATCGCTATTAGGATTTATCAGCATTCATTGTCCCCATTTTGACTCAATATTATGATGTAGAAAAATCATGCATCTTATCCTTTGAGGAAGAGCATCATCCTTTCTCCCAATAAGCTTCCAGGGCAAGACTGCATCAGCTAGCCCAACACCAGTAGCTGTCAATTTGAGACAGCAAAGCTACTCCTTTTCATTTGTCTCTGGGACCTTATTTAAAATCTCAGTCACTAGACAGCCACATACTTCAGGTAGGAAAACTTATGATACAGTATATTTGACAGTGCCACGGCAGGGCATTTGTGAAACAATCCAGGGATTTTCTGGAACTGTTCCTGTTGGGAAAAAGTATCACCAGACAGCGATTACATTCACTTATGGGACACAACATCTAGGCTTGTCAGAGTCCCCAAATTATTATCTCTATCTTTGAGAAAATGAACGACCTCTAAATCTATTCAGGTCTATAAATCTATTCATAAATTAATGACTTGACCTGTTATTCTGCCCACTGAGCAACTGGCTTTCTGTTGGAAACAGAGCAGTCCTTTGCTCTGTTTGTCCTACTTAGAAGACACAGAAATTTCTGATCCTTTTCTATGTTGTTTCTTCCTAACTCCTTGTGGCAGAAAACCAGTGAACTTGGTATAGCAGTAGGAGGAATAAGGGGAAGAAGAGGGGATTATAGCAGCTGAACAGCCCAAGTGCCTCTGTGAAGAGAGAAGCAGAGCAGCAGCCAGATGGATACGTTTCAGGCCCCAGGGAGAAGGTGTGGTTCTCTCGGTTTTGAGTAAGAAAAAATGGAAAATTCCACCACGTGTCAGCTATTACTCCTGGAAGGAGAACTGTCTGAAAATCCTATCCAAATTTCAAGTAACAGCAAATCTGCCGAGAAGGAGTTTAGCTCAGATGTAAGGTACTAGGGTCACAGTTTAATTCCCACGCACAAGTGGTTTTGTCTAGAAACTGCAAAGGATGCAAGACTTATTTTAAGACACCCCAGCCACAGAGACAAAACATTTCTCCTCAAATGTAAGAAGAGTTTGAAGTAACATTTTCCCAGTGCAAAGACAAGAATGAAACAGAAAAGAGGAAGAGATAGAGACCTTAATCAAATTTATTGCACCGCCCCACCACCCTGCCTATTGGCATATGTCAGCAATGAACCAGTACTGAAAAAGCGATAGCAGGTATGAGATGCGACCCACAAGAATTGAAAAATCCACACAAGAGACCCAACCAAACAAGATTAACTTGTACCACTAAATGCTACTAAGACTCAGGATCAGCAACACGCTTGAATAAAGCTGGAGTCAAAGGCTTCACTGAATAGGACAGAAACACCGACACGTCTCACATATCAAGAGCAGCAGTTCGTGTTTTGAATCCTGTCCCTGGCCCCGATTTCAGCACATCCCTTTACCTGCTCAACACTAAAGGCAGGGCAGTAGCCCTCTTGAACGTAAGAGATGCATAAAGCTTTTGTGTGCTGCTTTTGCTAAAGCAGCTGGAAGATAAAAAGATTACAGGGTTAAGTAGCATTACTTTCAGCACAGACCTGGGACACGTCTCCCAGAAAGCTCCATCTACCCTGGGCAGTTCCAGAAAATGAAAACAGCTGGCTTTGCCAGCTGGGTAATGCTGCTCCCTGTTGTTGTGTTGCTGGATTGAGACAAAGCTGCTAGAAGCTGCCATGGAATCCAGCCTGTTACTAACTGCTTGTGTAGGCAGCGGCACCTGCAGAGCACTGTCTTCAAAACAAGTTCTGAGTCCAAACCATACTTGAAATGCGGAATTGGCACAGAAAACTCAGTCCTGCCTTCTCCCGCTCAACTTATACGGAGCAATGGATTTGTTTATGCTTTGACTGGCAGTTTTTGCCACTCTTAGGGAATGGAGGATGGGGGGAAAAGAGACTGCCAAGAGGTGACAAAGACTTCCAAAGGAACTCTGCAGGGAAATCTTCCGCCAAGTCAGCTCTGATGCACGGATCCCTGCATTTGCAAACAAATCGGTTTGCACTGCTGAGTTAGAATGAGCATTTGTTACCTTGTACCTATAGAAGCATGGGCCTGCCCTGCAGGGGAGGAGGACAAAAGGAACGGTTCTTGAGCTCAGACTGAGCTGCATGCAGGGCTCCAGCTTCTTGAGCTCCAAGTCGCATTCAGGGCTTCCTCCCTCGATTATTTTGCTGCAGTATGTGAAAGCCAGCAAGGCCACCAGTGCATGAAGAACCTTCACAGAGCCAGCACTGCAGTGTACATCCCTTCCCCTTTCTGCACACCAGACCACCAGATTCTGCCCTGCTCCTTAAGCAAAGACCCTTGATGGTGCATAAAGGCAGGCTGTAAGAAAAAGGGTAACTTTAATAGAATACTAAGCAATGTTGGCAGAAAACATCTCCTCCATTCCCTCACCCTCTCTGCATGAAAGAGCTGGTGCCGAAGTCATACATACTTGTTCAGCTCCTATAATAGATGGTAGAAACTTATTTTGAAACAATGAACTGAACAAGAAACAGAAAGGAGGAGACTAGAAGCACGTAGCTCCATGATGCATTCAGATGCTGGCAGGCAGCAGCACTTCCCAGTTCCCTGCCCATGCCCTGGTCCCATGTCTGAGCAAAAGGAATTTGACTGGTGTGGAGGAAGTGCCTGGACCAGAGCCGGGCTGGGACCTGCCTCAACAAGGTCTCCACAGTCTGAACAACTCATGTCCCTGCTGTGGGAGGCACCTGCCCGACTGGCAGGTAGATACCAGCATATGGCCTCAAGAACCTGCTGTCTCTTGATACCACGATCACCGGAGAAGCATATACAGACAGTGGAAATGAACAACTGGCCACTGCACAACAGCAATAGTTTGTCCTCATATTCACCACACGTAGGATGCTTTTTGCTCTGCTCTATTCATAAATACTAGATGAAGAAAACAATCCACAGCAAAATTGAGGACAAGCATGAGGGCTTGTGTTCAGCACATTAGAGCCATCATTCCATAAAAGGTAGGCATCTTACCCACATGCCCTCTAAGTCTGCAGCACAAACATCTCACTTACAGACATTATCGAATAACAAGCATGAATATGCCAGCTCCTCTGAAGTGAAACTAGGACAGCCATATTCCAAGTGAAAAATGGAGCACTCTCATTGAATAAGAAATGGTCAATAGCCCTTGGAAACAAGATGTGTGAAATCTTGTCTCATATCGTGTTTCTGCTGCGCACGTCCCTGCCATTTTCATTCAGAGCTGCCATGCAGCAGAGGCTAACCTGAACAGGTATCAACCACAGAGACATCAGAACTCCTGGAATACGTCTGGCACCTCTGTTTGGCTGGGAAAAAAGTAGTTTGACTGGAAACAAGTAAGCACTCTGGATTTAGTGACAGAAGATGTGAAATAAAAACTGTTAAAAGTGGCACTTCAAAAATCCACAACTACCACCTCAGTATTACACGTGAGGGTAAAGGCTGTTTAGCTCATTTTAGAATCCAAGGGTTAAGGTGCACCACTTGCAATATAGGAGATACCCTGTGAAGGTTAAGCTTTGCCAGTCATTTGAAGTTATAGGTGATACCAGCTGAGTTACTGAACTCCTCAGCTGCTGTCCTCAAAACCTGTCTTGCCAGTTTGACTCTGGCAGAGCTGTGCAGGTGGAAGCAAAGGTAACGTTGGGGTTTGGATTTGAACTGCAGTTGTCAGTCTTAACACTGGTAACAGATCTGGGATTGCAGCCCGGTTATTGACTCCTTACTCTGACAGTTCTGAGGCAAGCATGTGAGTAGGGAGCTGTGAGCACACATTGGTGGTCACCAGGAGAGACTGGCAGGCTCTGTTGCCACAAAGCCTCGTTCCCCAGGAAAGCTGCCACTCTGCAGTTGTGCCTGAGACAGCATCACTGGGCGACAGCACTAACACCATCCCAGATATCTGGGCTCTGAGATAATGCCCATCTCCCTCAGCAATGCAGTCACGCCAGAACCCCTCACCAACACCCATGTGGACTTTCTAACCTGCTGTCTGCATACAAACCTTCAATGAAGTCAGAGGCTGTGTATACGCGGTGTTTTGTGTTGCTGTTCCCCTCTGGATTGTTCAAACTCCCAACAGCTAACTCGATCACCTCTATCAACTCATCTCGCTTATCCTTCCTTACAGGTTTCTCTTCTGGGTGACGCGTCAGCCCAGTCTCCAGTTGGTACACCTTCTGCAGGGTAAAGCTCTCAAAGGGCACAGCCGCGTACTCTGTGGACAGCTTAATGCCAGTGTGCACCTCTGCTTTGTCTATTTGGGAACGGAGGAAAGCCAGCAAGTTAGCCTGGACCTTCTCCGGGTTACTGTGGTCAAGCCGAATGTCCAAGGGGTCTGGGTACTGGTCCTGCACGTTCTTAAGCTGCACGTTCCTGCCCTGAAGCTCAGCCTTCAGCTGGGCAATTTGTTTCTTCAAGCTGATGATGTAGTTGCGGTGTTGCTCTTCTCGCTCTTGCAGAATGGCTTCATATCCTTCCTTCACAGTCGGACTGTGCACTCTGGGCAAGACAAGCTGCTGGTTGTCACCCTTGGGTGTGCAAGCCAACATGTAAACAATAGACACCAAGCAACAGGCCACCACCAGCAGGCCTACAAGTCGGGGGAGAAAGAGAATAAATCCTCGTCGGAGCATCATCTCTCAACAAGCAGAGTCTAACCCCACGCACAGAACAGTTCTTACATCCATGCAGTGCCACAGAGGCCCCTGGACTTGGAGTACGCTTACACAGATGCATGTATGTGCAGGAACTGGCTCGTCAGCTCTCTTAAAACGTGTGCTCTGCCTCTGTATTGGGCTCTCTCTGGTGTTTACCCAACAGGACCAAAAGACAAGCTGCGAAGCAGACAGGACACCTCCTGATCCTCATGACAACACCTACGCTGCTGCAATGTGATCAGCTGGTGGCCGATGGAGCCTGAGGACCTGGAAAACAAATGACAAGGACAGTCATTCAGGCACATTAGAATTTGGTCATTCAGTCCAGACCATTGAGAGTGTTCTACAAATTTACCTCGTTTCTCAACTTCTCTGGCCGATCTCAGCGCTGTGAAGTGCTTGTGCTAAGACCCAAAAGGTATCAAGACCCTTACACAGGAAATCCTATATGCATGCATTTAATTTTAATAACATGACTTGGCCCATTGCTAATTTAAAACTAGTCCAGGCCTCAAAGTCTGCCATGCTTTAGAAATATTAGGAAGTTATCATCTCTGTTACTTTCTGGCAAGATATTAAAGTGCTCATTTCATCCAAGCAAAGATGGCCCTCCAAGCATTCTCAACTCAAATTTCGAAGGCAGTCAGTCCCACAACTACTGCACACATTTCAGCTTCCAGCCATGTTTTTCCAAAACAGCAGGTGACAAATGTGGTCCCATTTGAACATATAAAGCCTGACTTGAAGCAGAAATTTAATAACCAACAAACTAGAAATGGTTACCAAGGCCAATTGCTGCAACTAACGTTGTTTGACGTCTCCTACTAGATGCTCCCCAAAAGACCAAAGAACTAGGGATAGGATTTTTTCAGGAGCATTCAGACCAAGTCTTACTCAAAATCAGGGGAAGCTTTGTTTCCATCTGGGAAGCTGTCATCATCACACACTACGCTATCGTTTAATGGCCCTCTTCTGTTTCTCATAATGTTATAAGAAGTCTTGCAATGATGTACAGTACTACTATGTTTTCCACGTATGCTCTCTGCTCAGGAATGAAGACCACAGAGGAGGTTTAGGGAAAGCTGCCTTAGGTATTTTTTAAAATAAGAGAAGTTAAAACTGTCAACATTATCATTTTTAGTAAGACTTCCTGAAATATACTTAGAAACAGGAAAGAAAAATTAAATGACTGAAGATGAATATTGATCTAGCTGTAAGCTACATTAAAACAATTGAGCCGAGAACACTACCAGTGGGATTTTCAAAATTCCTCAGTTTTGGCCCAAATCCATGTCAATGCAAGGAATTTCATCATTTACTCAGCTGACAGTAGACTTTGGCCAAGGCTGAGTAACATTCTACGTTACACTGTGACTCTGCATTATTAGACTCAGACACAATTTATTTAACCCCCTGACGCTCACCCCTCGGACGCATGCATGACGTTACGGCACTGCTTTTGACAACAGAGATTCATACCCTTAAGTAAAAACAGTTCATCTAAGAATAAGGGTTTCAGAGTTATTTTCAGTTATTTCTAGTCTTGAGTCAAAGTCTTCTGTAGGACTTTCTGTCAACTGCGACATGACTTCCCCCCCTGTGGCTCGATTGATTATTACCCTATAGACAGTAGTTTTGCAGAGATATTTCTGATCTTTGAATTGTTATCAATATTTGATCAGTCTGCAGAGCTTGTAGACAAAAAACCCAAACACTTTTAGAGTAGAAATTGAGGGGGCTAGAGTGAGGTATAAAAATACTACTGTATTTTTCTGAAAGTAATGCTGAATAGCTGCTAGAGTATTTACAGGATTCTCCAGAAAATGTCAGTGCTTTTAAAGGAAGAATTGTTGACGTTGAGGAGAATATTCAAGCAGCAGGAAAAAGGACAGGATGAAGTTGGCACCCTTACCTTTTTGCTGTGATCTTCTTTTTGGAACATCTTGATCCGCTACAGCTACTTCTCAGCTTGCCACGATCTTCTCCTGTTTATCTCCCTTCTTATGCCCTTCCCAGAAAACGCGCCTACTATAAAAAGCACTGCCAACCTCAGAACACCTCTTCATTGCTTTCATATTTGCCAGCTGCCTACATCTTCAGTCTGTCTCCTGTGTGGTGAAAGGCTGTAGTGGAGACGCTTCCTATGGATGCACTATAAAAGCTGGCCTCCTGCAACGTAAAGGAGCTTGTCAAAGCAGGGAAAATTAATCTGGGCATTTCTGACTCTACAACAGATCTGGCTAGAAGACTGCAAGAAGGTAGTGTGCAGTGAGACAGGGTCAGGAAGTGGTGAGATGTAGTACATAAAACACTGCTGTGCTTGTATGCTTCACTTCACACAATTAGTCCATTGACTGAATTGGCAGAAGCTGAACATCACTGAAAGGATTAGTTGTGCTAACATGGTATAAACTGAAATTACATCTCAATGGCTTAGATAAACACACAATTTCATTTCTGTAAGCAGCAACAGATTCGAGTTTTGAGTAAAGAGCTCTTCAAATGTTGACCTTAAAATATATGTGTCTGTATATATAGCTATCTTCACTAAAACATATTGCTTCTCTCTTCAGGGTACCCTTTCTTTCCTACCTGGTTTATAATCTCACTCACCTAAGATGCATCTTTAAAAACACTTCAGGACAGTAAATTCACTCAGCTACTTTGCCCTTTGAACAACCATTCTTATAAGAAGAAATTCAGGCCATGGGGATTTCCACCTTCTTCACGGGGATTTCACCATCACGACTGGAGGCACCCTGACAACAAGCACCCATTCCTTGCCCTCTGTTGCTAGATCTGTCTTCTAAAATTGTGCTGGTGGCTTTGATGGCATTGCCTTACAGTGATTGACATTTAAATATACAGCTGTTACTGTACTACTATCTCATGGGCATGCTTGTGAAAGCAGTCCCAATCCGTGCTGGTGCCAAAAAAAGCAGATTACTTTAAGTCAACACTGAAGGTGGTCACAGCAAAGGCATCTCAGCTGCGCAGACAGCACCAGAAAGCGAGGGACGGTAACTCCTCCTAACAACCGTTCTGTTGATTTCACCAGACCTACACAGTTTCACACCAACTGAGAGAGCCTGAGATGAAGGGGAGACAAACTGAAATGTCAGTTTTTTCCAGGAACTGACAAAAACACCTCTGTATTTCACAGCAGTCAGCTGCATCAAATAGTACTAGTCTATTTGCAAAGAGAAGTTTTAACAAATATGCAGTGGTAAGTCTGATAGCCAAGGAAAAGGACATTAATTCTAAAAAAGCCTCTGTTTGCAAAAAGGTCTTCAACCTCAGTTCGACCTGTTAGCCCAGCCAGAGGTCAGACCACCTCACAGAAGTGCTTTTCACTTGTTTTCAAGGAGCCTGGGCCCCAAAATGATCTGAACACAGAAACAGGTTTTGTCATCATCGTAAGCACTGTGTAAATGGCTCTGCACGGTGGAGGGTGCTGCATCCAGTCATAGGGAGTGGCAAAACTGAAGGAAGTTGGTTGGTATGAAATTTTGGATAGTATGCACCCACCACGGTTACTCACCAGCATCTGGATTTTTAATGGACTGTAGAGATACAGGAAATTTATCTCTGCACAGAAAAGGCAACATAGTTCAAGCCTGAATTTTTGACTCCTAAAAGCCAAACTGAGAACTTGTGCAGAAGAAAGGGACTCAAAACAATATATCTCTTTAAATGTATCTCCCCTCTGAGCTCCACACTCTCTTCGCTCTTGACATTGAGGACAGAAATGGATGGCAAAAGAGCAGTCATGTCTGCAGAGGCAGTGATCTCTCAGCACATATAGAATGGGCAATGCCAAATAATTCCATGTTTTCAAGTACTTTCTGCCACACCTTCCTATTGCAGGTGTTACTCAGACTGGCAACTCCATTTTAGCTCATAAACCTTTTTAAAATTCGGGTTGGGTTTTTTGTTTGGTTTTGTGTTTTTTCTTTTTTTGATAGAGGCAGTGAATGGCAGAAACTGCAATTAGTTTTCATGTAGGTGTTTGAAACATCTTCACTGAACAGCAGCACACATCGCAGTGAGATTTCACTAGAATGATATTAATCTCCAAAATGGGCTGTGATGAAGGAGGAACAGATGTTTCACCCAGACTAAGTGCCTTACAAAAAAAAAAAAAAAAAAAAAAAGGAGAAAAAAAAAAAAAAAAAATTCCCCCCCCCCTTGCCTTTCCCCT